CCGCTGCTCCCCTCAGCAGTGTACTTTGTCAATCTGCCTGTTCTGCTCCCCACTCTGTCTCTGGTGAAGCCTCTCATCCTCCGCCATCTCTGGCCTCTACCCCAGTTCTGTATGAATAAATAAATAAATCTTAAAAAAAAAAAAAAAGATGAGAAATGTGAAGACAGATTTTAACAGTTCATATGCACCTAGGTGCCATTATTGATACAAATGGTTTTTATTTTTTGGTGAGTCAAGTAGAGTCATTAAGTGGGGTGCTCTTGCAGGTGAGGTTCAAACTCCTATGTCTTAAAAAAGAAATAAGATAAGAAATACTGCTTGGCTGGATGACAAGAAATTGTGTGCTGAGGCTACTAGTTCACAAACAGTCCAGTTTTCAGAAGTGGAAAATATCGATGACCTACAATAAAAATGTGGAACATTCCCTGTAGGTTTTTTCACTAGTTCATATTGGGAGGCAACTTGGACAGGACAGTCATGGCGCAGTGGGGTCTGCTTCTCCTTTTTAACCATTGGTACCATACATGGGTTGGCAATATGGCCAGTCTGGTTCTGATGGGTTACCTTGGGTGTCATTTACTGACCTCTAGAGTTTTGGGACATTGCTATCTCTTGACCACATCCAAGAGGAACTAATTCAGATCTGGTCAGAGAAAAACACCAATTACTAAATTTCAAGTAGAACTTGGCAATCACTGCATTCTCCCACTGTGTATCAAGATTAATTAATAACATGACATTTTTACCCTCCAAATGACCAAATTATCATTCACAGAGAAACATTTAATAACATATCACAGAGAAAAGAAATATTAGTCTATTAATTTAAACTCTGCTATTATGCCATTTAAGATTGTAGTAAATTTTAACACTTCTCAATGTTGAAATGTATAATTTCTTAAGTGCTACTTTTCCCTCCTTTAGAAAATTATATAAACCCTAATTAAAGAATAGCCAAATATCTTTTTTTTTATATGGTAAGGTTATAGAAACTGAGATCATAGAAAACCCTAATAACATTCATTTATTAAGTAAAGGCAAGGCCAGTTGTCGTGGCAACCTAACCCTAATTAATATGATGAAAAGACAGAAAATGTGAAAATCTACAAGTAGCCACTTCCTTGAAAAGTAGAATGGCTAGATCAAATAACTAAAATACAAAAGTAAAAAGTCTACATGTTTCTGCAATTTTAGAGTCAGCTTTATGCACCTGAGAAGGTCTGAATGAATATCAAGCATTTGGATAATCATTGTCATTAGCGTTAAGCCTCACAATTCAAAAGCAAACCTAATTACTTTATATAATTACAATCTTTTCACCATCCCCCTGCCAAAAAAATAAACAGCTCATCACGATCTTCAGGCAACTGCTACTAATGATAAATGCCCAGGGGCCTAGTCAAGCTGGTTCCTGTGGCTGTGCATACAAGGTGTCGGCACACTCTGTAGCTGCACAATATGGATGCCTCACTACTTTTTTTTTTTTTTAAAAGATTTATTTATTTATTCATACAGAACTGGGGTACAGGCCAGAGATGGGGGTGAGAGGATGCACCAGAGACAGAGTGGGGAGCAGAACAGGCAGATCCACGAAGTACACTGCTGAGGGGAGCAGCAGGCGGGTCAGGAGAGGTCTGCCTCGCCATGTGGTTACCTCCGGGGCACGCGGGGATCGAACTCCTGAGGAATTGGCTTAAGCCTCTCAGTGCAGTGCTTTAACCCACTGCGCCACCAGGGAGGGCCCGCCTCACTACTTTTAACTTGTCAGGATTAGCATGAACCTACATACCCCTATGCTCCGGCCCCTGCTCTGCTCCTTGAAGAGTTTCAACAAAACATAAATGCTTGGTAGAAAAGCATGATGGATACCTTTATAGAAGAGAACCACGATCTTCTGAAAGGCTTTCATGAAATGGATATTGTCGTAACAGTATTCCTGCACCTTTTGGAGGAGGATCAGCTCTGACTGGCCTTGGGAGCTGAACACAGCCAGCAGGGGAGCATATTGCTGGAAAAGAAGTGGGGAGGAAAACTGTCAACTTTCACGACAGATACAGAGGCTATAGTGCTGGAATAATGACAGTAATCTGCCAGTTTGTTTTATTTGATTACTTTTCACTGTACTCATTAAGATACTAAACATGAAATTTTGACACATTAAAGGATCTTCGGGACTGTGATGCTTCCTCTGTTAATGGAGTGTAGCTTCATCATCATGTAGCATCTGCCAGAAGAAAGGGGTTCTGCTTTCCCAAATATCCCAGGTCCCTATTATGGGTAATCTTTATGTTTATTTTCATTTTATCCCCTTTGTTCCAAATGTCCCTGGCTTGTTCTCACAGACCCACTATAAGATTCTACGATCCACTCAGTCTAACACTTAATCTCTTCCAGGGAGCTTTCCCTGAGTTATCTTTAAATTGGATCCATATAATTTTCACTAGATGGTCTTTGATTTCAGAATTCAAGTATAAATACTGAAGAGAAAATCTTAAGTATTCCAGTTATCTTAATGTCATTTCATAGAAAGAAGAAAATCAACAAAAGCAAAAAACAGGTTTCCAGGTATAAAAGCATGCAATCTGTATAACCAACTGATTTCTCCTACCACTAAGATGATTTTCAAATTCTAATATCAATCTGCGGTTTCAATAAGAACTTTTGGTATGCAGAACAGAAGGTAAGCCAACAGTGAGACCACGACTTCTCTTTAACTTTTAATATTGGATATGACTATTCTGTAAATTATGTTTAATAAGAACTTACCCTTGGTTATTTTCTAGGCTCTTACATCTGAAACATTTTAGACAGTGGCAAATTTGAAAAACAAAAATCAGGAAATACATGCTGGCCTGAATCTAGGGATGGTGGGGTGGGGGTTGGGGGGGAGGAGGGGCATCTGTAATGCTGTTCAGAGCTGCAGCTCAGATTGTGCCTGGTTAAGATACTGTACCTTCAGGTGCTTGAGAGCCTGCTCTGCGACCAGTTCTTCCTTCTTGTTCCATTCAACAGCATTCATTATACAGGTCCACAGAAGGCCAATTACTGCTGTTTCTGGAAGATCATTCCTCTTCATTTCTTCTTTAACATACAGCACCACCTAAATTTCATGGAAAAGCGGATCAGAGAGTAATTAGCATATAGGGTTTCCCCTCAGTGTCTGATCAAGCACACACACTATTCTAGAATAGATCAAATATTCTTCTCATTCCCTCTTTACTTAAATGTATTCTCAGATTACAACATGAAAGAAAACATAATTTTTTCTTAAAGTAAATTTATAATGTGTCTAAAAACTAAAAGGCTTGACTGTGGCCATGAACTGATGAATAAGAACAAAGAGTCTCTGTTTCGTAGGTGTTATTCTTTACACACAACCCATTTGGGCCTGGCATTGGAAGGATTACCTGTGCCATTTTGACTGTAAGGCTATAAAGAAGGCCAGAAGGCAAGTGAATTTTTGACTTTATTACCTCTTGAGAAATAATGTTTAGGGTTTGTACAAGTCCATTCTCTATAATTAATCTTTTAAATTATTACTTTGGATGACCTTTAAGCTGCATTTCAGTGAAAGGCAAGCAAATTAACTGTGAAGGGACTCTAGCTTATTGA